GGAAGGAAGGAAGGAAGGAAGGAAGGAAGGAAGGAAGGAAGGAAGGAAGGAAGGAAGGAAGGAAGGAAGGAAGGAAGGAAGGAAGGAAGGAAGGAAAAAAGGGCTGTGGTGGCAGCACAGTGGTTAGAATGCAATATTGCTGACTAATTCTGCCCACAGCCAGGAGTTCGATTCTGACTAGCTCAAGGTTGACTCAGTCTTCCGCCCTTCCTTCTGAGGCCGGTAAAAAGAGGACCCAGATTGTTGGGGGGCCATAGGCTGGCTCTGTAAACCATTTAGAGAGGATTGTAAAAGCGGCACTGCAAAGCGGTATAAAAGTGCTATTGCTATCGTCATCATCAATTAATTTGTTTCCCCAAGAGGTGTTTGGGAATGTCACCTCCATATAAAGCCTCCTCCTTTCGTGACCGCCAAGGAACAGGGGTGGGAGGGGGATGTTTCAGCCCTCCCTGCTTCGGATTGCAAAATGGTCCTTACCTCCTCCTCCGTTTGCACTCATCATAAGGGACGGCCAAGTAGTAGCGCTTATCAAACAGGTCCACCAGAGGCCTGCGGGAAAGAAAACAGGACCGGAGCCTTTCAACATTTGGCAGAGAATCACAGAATCCTAGAGTTGGAATGGACCTTAGAGGTCCTCTAGTCCATCCTGTTGCCCAAGGTAGGAATCTTCACAGGATCTCGGACAGATGGTTGCCCAGTCCTGAGGAACCCATAAGCCCCCGTCTTTCCAGAGGTGCTATTCAAGCAACCAGTGTGTCAGCGTTCCAATGAAACTCATTTCCATTCAGCACTCAAAAACAAAGCATTAGGGTTCCGGCGATTGCCCTAATAGATCATGAGCCTTGAGCCAAGCTTCAAAAGCTCCCCCCCCACTCCTGCTTATGGCAACTCGAAAACAAGCATAGGAATGCTTTATGAGTTGACACAAAGTCCATCCAAGTAAGAATTTATTAGAGAAGTCACATTGGCACATCTGGGGAAACACGTATCTGAGAGTTCCGAGTTTTCCCTTCCCCAACAGAAATCCAAAGTTCCATCTCCTGCACAGGTGCAGGGTAACTTGTCCTTGACTTTTAAGAAAGAATGTTGTTGAGTGTGATGACCCAGGGTGGGATACAAAATAAACCCAGTCACAAAAACAGGTGAAGCCCCTTTTATTCCTTCACTTTGCTTCAAAGCTCCAAATATCCTTGACGGGAGACAAAAAAACTCCCACACAAGCAGTTATGAAAAGGAGGAACTGCCTTTTAAACTAAAAATGCCTATAAATTATAAAGAGTAAAAACAACACAAACCACACTGAAGCAATTAAGGGAACCAGGCAAGATAAGGGCTTGAAGACGTCCACAGATATCGGAACACACACTGTGAAAGACGCCAAACTCAAGAGAGGAACGACAGTCTAGAGATGTTTCCACACTTTCTTTCCAGCACTGGCCCATACGCATGTCCGTCCTGTTAATCAGTTCTCACAGCTGCAGCCCATGAAGAGGATCAAGGCCCTTTCCTCCCCCGTAGACCGCAGCATTCACATCTCTCCCTTAGCCTCTCCTCCCTGCGTGCCCTAGGATGGTGAGGGGATGGGCCTGGGTCTTCCTCTGACTTCCCAGCCCTTCCTCAGCCTCCTCCACAACCTCCGGAGCCACACTCCCACTCCGTCGGCTGTTCCTCCTCTCCTTCGGAATCAGTCTCCAACAGGGGCATGACATTGAGTCTACTCTTCTACTCACTAAGAAATCCTCCCTCCCAAATTCCCAGGCACTCACTGTGGCAGCCTCAAAGCTTCTAAGTAGAGTATGGCTTCCATGGCTGACACAGTGGCTACTTCTTCCTTTGAGGGTACTTCCCTGAAGAAGTAGTCCTCGGCTTAGTGTCCATTCAGGATTGTGAACTATCCGAAAAATGGGAATCACGATCCGGATCACAAGTTCCATGTGGTCACCCATCACCCACCACACTGGAGGCATTCGGCAACGCAGTTGTATTTGTGGTTGTTTGGGGGTGTGTGTGTGAAACCTGACCCTGTTTTACGACAGTTTTGCCCCCAAACCGCATTTATTTCTAGCTTTGGCAAACCCATGACCGTGGGGAATAATGGCTTCGCAGTTACGACTTGCGGTGTTCACCAGAGTTGCAAAAATTGGGGATAAAATGGGATCGGTTACACGTCCCACTTGTTTTATGACCACTACGGCTTAGGCAAGGCTCCATTACGGTTGTAACTCAAGGATGGCAGGCAGCTAGCCTTTTTCTTCCCCTTCTGCCAAGTCTCAAGATAATTGCCAACGGTCCCCCAGCTGGCTCGAGGCAAGCAAGCAGTCTAGAGGCCAATTGTTTTCTATAAAACCAGCCCGGAGGGGGAAAACTCGTCTGGATTTTGTGGTGGGGGATTAAAACAAAACACGAAAAAAATCCTAACGTCCGTGTTCTTAAATCGAGCACAGGGACTCCTTTGCTGCATTTAAAATCGTCATAACCGGATCAAATTTTGTTTACTGGAGACTCATCCAAGCAACTTCATCTGTCAAAATAAAAAATTAAATAGGCAGAGAGTCCGGGGAATGTTCTTCTCCTTCTTCCTTTTCCCTTTCTTCTTCTTCTTCTCCACCTCCACCCCCTTCCCCTCTTCCTCCTCTTCCTCCCCTTCTCATTCTAGTGAACAATTCCTTAAAACATTATATTTCTTCTTATTCCTCCTCCTCCTCCTCTTCTTCTTCCTCTCCTCCTCTTCCTCCCCTTCTCATCCTAGTGAACAATTCCTTAAAACATTATATTCCTTCTTATATATTCATATATTCATCTGATATAAAACAATTGTGGTTGTTTTATAGACCAACTTCAGGGGTTTCTCCCCAAAATGGATTGCAATACGTCAATGAAAACTCAATCATCCTGGCCAAAAGTTAAATCATGGCAACGGAAAATGTGTTAATCCGAGAAGTTTCATTCCTGAAGTTGGCATGGCAAGAATTGGTACACTCCCAACACCTCTCTAATTTTTTTTTTTTATTATTTTGAGTGAAGAAGTGGCTTGGGTGAGTCTCAGATTAACACATTTTGGTCCGGTTGCCACGATTTAACCGCTTAGATGCAGTAAAGGAATCACAGCTCAATTGAAGGGCATGGATGCTAGGACCCTGAGCTATGGCTGTGATCCGTCGGTTTTGGGGAAGAGCCAAATAACCAACAAGCTGCAAGATAAAAGTGTCTCTTGCATTGCATTAGAGCTGGACATGAATTGGCACGGTCACCCAGCAGAGATTATAGTCGCTCAAGTTAATTGCGGTCCCTGACATGAGCTGGACATGAGCTAAGCCCAGTTTCTCATCTATATTTGCAGTGTTAAGGCACTGTGGGAAGAAAAATCCGGCCTGGTTCCAACCCAGAAGAGAGATGATGGAAATAAAATGGAGACTGGCTGGTTTATTTGGTTGCCAGAAAGTTCAGTGACAGAAGCAATCTTTCTGGGGTGGCTGACCTCTTTGGTTTAGGAATGGGTTTTGAGATGCTCCAGGGTGGTTGTGCAATGCAGTGAGCCTTGTGTCTTTTGCTATTTCAATGGCGGTGGGGAAATCCTATTATGTCCTAAAGGCCCTGTCCTGTCCGTCTGTCCTGGTGTTTTGTTTATAAATAGATTGGCCCAGTCTTAATGAATGGATACAAAATCTCCCTCTCTAAAGACTTCAGGCATCTGCTGGAGGCTGTTAAGGAAGACTGGGGCTGCTTTCTGCCTTTAAGAACATGTTTTCTCTATTTCTCCTTTGACGAAATATTCTATCCTGCCTCTCTTAATATTAAGAATAAAAAATATTTTAATCCAGAGGGAACGGGGGCTTCCTATAGTACAATTTAAAAGGGTCTCTCTTTTTTTTCCCCTGAATTACATGGGAAACAGCCTCCTGCACAAATGATTCATTACAAAATAAAATGTACACATTTTTCAGAGCCATGCCCGTCTCCAGAAATACAAAAATTTTAAAGGTAAATAATGCAACAGTGCTTCCCGGAATTGGAAACACAAGAAGAAATTGTTGGTAAGGAAGTGAGCCTTTGATTATTAAGTGACTTTAAAAAGATGGGTATTTTCCTTTGTGATAGTTTGTACAGGTAGTCCTTGACTTACAACAGTTTCCTTAGTGACCATTTGAAGTCACAATAATACTGGGAGGGAAAGTGACTCATTTTCCCACTTATAACCGTTGCAGCATCCACCAAGGTCACATGATTTGCATTCGGATGCTTGACAATTGATTCCTATTTATGACAGTCAAAGTGCCCCAGGGTCCCTGACCAGCTTTTGTGACCTTCTGATAAGTCAAGTCAACGAGGAAGCCAGATTCACTTAACAACTGTCAGTATATTCATGAACTGGAATAGAGCTGGGTAACAAGGTCAGCCAATGAATAGGCATAGCAACTAAGTCAGCCAATGAGGACTGTTTTGGAAACTGAAACTAGAACCAGCGTAGGCTAGAAACTGAAACTAGAAGCAGCCAAAGCGTGGCTCTATATTAAGGTCTGCAACTCTGCAGCTATGTTGAGCTCTGAGTCCGTCTATTGAAGATGAAACTGACTTGCTTGCTTGCTGAAGACCGGAGCTCTGCTCTGAACCTTGCAACCTGTTTCTGTTTGAGTTTGCTCCATGTTGGAGAAATCTACAACTGGTTTGTAAAATCTACTTATGTTTATAAAGATGTTAAATGAAGCATCAGCCATCTGTGTTTATTTTTCTGGCACTGAATTAACGCTGCACAAACTCTCAATAACAACCGTGTGAGTAATTTAACTTGCCACAGTAATTTGCTTGCCACAGTTACGGGTCAAAACCCACTTAACAACTTTCTCACTTAGCAACATAAATCCTGGGTTCAGTTGTGGTCATAAGTCAAGGATTACCTATACAGTTTCAGCATTCATGTATTCATGTATTCATGCATGCATTCCTTCCTTCCTTCATTTGTTCATTCATGTTCTTTCATTCATTCACTCTTTCATTCATTCATTCGTTCGTTTGTTCAATTAACTTGTTGAATCACTTCATAATGAAAACTCTTCAGAAAAGGTCCATTTATTTCTTTGACTCACTGACTAAACTAAAATCCACTCAGGGAAAAGGAAGAGGAGAAGAACAAGAACAGGAAGAGGAGGAGGATGGAAGGGAGAAGGAGGAGGAGAATAAGGAGAAGGTTAGAAGGGAGAAGGAGAAGAAGGAGGAGGAGAAAAAGGAGGAGGAAAGGAAGAACAACAAGAAGAAGAACAGGAGGAAGAGAAGGAGAGGGTTGGAAGGGTGAAGGAGAAGAAGGAGAAAGAGAAGGAAGAGGAGAAGGTAGAGGAAGAGAAGGATGGGAAGGGGAAGGAGGAGAAAATTTGGGCTACTCTCCTTGAACCATAACCGTTTTGCAAAAAACAGGGCCATTGGAGAGCAATAATAACTTATATGAAGGCTGTCGTGCAGGATCACGTTAGCAACAATTGCCCGAGAACTCATTAAAAGATAAATAAAATACGCAGTGTTTGAAAAGAGCCAGAGCAAAGGGGAGGAATAACTCTCTACCTGTAGTTATAAAGCAGAAATCCTTCCACCACCAATACGTGGATATCGTCCGCGTCGGGCATCTTTGATCGGTGTGAGACGCTCACCCCATGCGATCGGGCAAACTTGACGGGGTTCTCTCTCCAGGCGTTCACGGTGTTCACCATCGCCTCCATATCCAGAGAAGCCAAAACTAGTTGGAAGAAACAGCTTCATATCAACACATCATTGCAAACGCCCGTTTTAAAAACGAAATTTAAAAAAATAAAAGGAAAGGAAAAAAAAAACCACCATAAAACTCGGTGTGAAAATAGATAAATTAAAGAAGTGAATTTATTGTAAAGTTATTTAAGTTTTACTGTTAAGGGGTTTTTGGTTTTTGGTTTTTTGTTTAATAATGATAGAATAGGGATAAAAAAAATGTATATATATACTTAGGAAAATATACATTACTGCATCCTATAGCGAACACCGTTCTTACCATCCCATTGCTTAAAGCCGTCTTCCCCGACTTGTATTTGATCTTGTGGCTGAAACATATTGATCAATAAAACAATGCTGCAAACACAGGCTGATCTGTTACTTAAGATCCGATCACAGCCTGGACACAACTTGTAAAGCACACGCACACACATACACACACACACACACACACACAAAGGCAAGTGCCGTCTTAGCAAAACTGCGGTGGTGCACACCGATCCACCCACCCACCCATCCCACATCCCAAGAGCCTTAAAAATATTAATTCTTTTAATATTAAAAATATTTCCCCATTTTAAAGGCGGCCTGGGATGTCTGCGTTGGTTGTTCATGTGAGTTAAGATGTTTTCGGTTGGGTTGTAATCTTGGGCCTCAGGGCGATCCGAAAGGATCGGAGGGGAATTAAGGTTATGTGCATGGAGGCCTGGGAACCGGAAAGAAAAACTAACGCGTAGTAAGGGGTGTTGCTTCAATAGAACAGGGCTGTTTTAATTTGTGGGGTCTCTGAGCTTGGTGGTTTTCTTGCAGACGTTTCGTGACCCAACTAAGGAACACCATCAGTGAAAGAAGGAAGTGGGGTTTGGAGAGGAGGAGGAGAGGAGACGGGTGGAAGAGGAGGAGGAGGAGAGGTGGAGGAGGGCAGGAGGAGGAAAATGAGGAGTTGAAATAATAGGTGGAAGTTTCTGACTTCCTTTTTCTTCTTCTCTTGATCTTGGAACAGTCTTAAGTCTTTGACGTTTCATTACCAAAGCATTGATGTTGTTACCTAGTTGGGTCCTGAAACGTCTGCAAGAAAAAAGCACCCAGCTCAGAGAGCCCCAAAGACCCCACTTTTTCAACCCAGAGCTGCAAATATTCTCCTTTATTAGCCTTAATTAATTAATTAGTCTACATTGGTAGACTAATTGGTAGATGTAGTGGTAGTCTACATCTACCACTGTACGGATCACATAGCGTCTATGATGTGTTCCACTTTAGTGACAGGAAAATGCTGGAATTTTGGGGGGGGGGGGCAATCCATTGGAAATGCAGCGCCCACCAGCAAGTACCTTCAAATATAAGATGTTAGAGAACAAAATTCAGGTGGGGGAATGGCTCGTTTCAACGAAGGCTACAGAGAGAGAGAGAGAAGAGATGCGAGGAGGGAGAAAGAGGGAGATGAAAGAGGAGAGAGGGAGAAAGAGAAAGAGACGAAAGAGAAAGAGGAGAGAGGGGAAGAGAGAAAGAGAGAGAGGGACGGACTAAGAGAAAAAAGATGAGAGGGAGGGAGAGGGAGAAAAAGAGAGATGAGAGAAAGAGAGAGAGAGAGATTTGGTGTTTTTATTATTGTATTAAGTTTATCAGAATGTAAAATGCAAATAACATAACATGGTGTTTGGACTGAGAGGCTAAACTCTTGTTTGCAAAGGGTGCTTTACTCTGAGATTAACTGTCCGAGAATTTGCAATTTTTTAAAAAAATCCTTGGGCTTTATGTTCAATCACCAAAGTGATTATGAATTTTGGATGCAACCTAAATGTTTTATTGTGGGAAGGAATGGGGGCCATAGCTCCAATCTCAGAATCCGATCATTATAGGAAGTTCTCGACTTACGACGGATCGCTTAGTGACTCATTGAAGTTACGAAGGACCTACGTGGGGAGGGGGGAACCCAAATGCAAGATTTGGGCAGTCACCTCCTGCCCCCACAGTCAGATGGCCACCTTTCGTATACGCTCGGCCGAATGGTTGAAAACCACCTGCAGTGTCCCACCATCAGGGGACCGTGTACTTTACGACGGTTTTGCCCCAAAATAAAAATATTAAAATTGGCCTCTATTTTCAGGTTTTGAACAAAACCAGCTGTGGGGTTCGCTTAACAATGACTGCCAACAAAGGGTCACAAAAGTGATCCACTTTACAACGATCACGAGTTATGACTGTAATCTTTTCCTTAGTTTTATAATATAGCAAACAAATGAATAGGAAAAATCAGAGAAGGGGAAAGTGGGGGGGGGGGAGAAAGAAAAGGTGTTCACTCTTCAATTGCCCTCAAACACCCCCCCCCCCCATAGCTGGCTGGGGAATTCTGGGAGTTGAAGTCCCCCAGGTCTTAAAGGTGCCAACATTGGGAAACAGCGGATCTAATCCCTGCTGTATTTGGCCAGGATAAACTTTGGTAAACTGTTATTTGGCCCAGCTAAACAACACTGGAAGGTTTTAAGAAGAGACTGGACAGCCATTTGTCTGAAATGGTATAGGGTTTCCTGCCCGAGCAGAGGGGCTGGACTAGAAGACCTCCAAGGTCCCTTCCAACTCTGCTATTCTGCCATGATAAGATCATCTTGCGTTTCCTTCTTTGGGCAGCGTCACATGGTGTCCTATTTTTGAAGTGAGAGAGCTGTGAGAGGCAAAAATAGGCGCCCTTATCTACCCTTATCTGCCTTATCCGACACCCCAGCTATGTTAAGTGAGCTCCTGATTGATTCCTTAGACCGGACGGATGGAAAATATTAGATTAAGGGAGGGCAAATTTCAAGCATGTTAACAGCTTGAAAAGGGATGATTGAGAAATAAAAGGACTCAGAGGGAAAATAATCAGAATTTGCAACCCTTTGCACCAAACATGCACAGCAATGCACAAAATAAGGGTTGGGATACATATCTTTCAGCTATGCACAGCTTTAATAATTTGCAAATATATATATTGATGGACATGCTACACTCAATTCTCCCAAGAGCCAATATATTCACATGGGTTTGATTTGATTTGATTTTTAAAGGGGGGAGGCAGACCATTTGGCTTTGAAACACGAGAGGTTTTTATAGAAGAGATTGGTCCAAAATGTTATAGGGTCTCCTGCTTGGGGAGGTGGGTTGGACTAGTTGACCTCTAAGGTCCTTTCCAACTCTGTTATTTATTGTTATTATGGCCATTCAGTGCAGGAAATCCTTAACAGGGGGAGAGACTAAAGAGGAAGAAAGGCCAGTCAATATATTTTCTTTATTTTTATGTGTGTGTTTGTGTGTATTCCAAATAAAATCACCTACATATTTCTAATGGCCTTTGGATAAAAGGGAAGTCATTTTTATATTAATATTGTTCCATTTTGGCCACTTTCAGGGGTATGCGCTTCAATTCCCAACATGGCTGGCTGGGGAATTCTGGGAGTTGCGGTCCACATATCTTAAAGTAGCCAAGGTTGAAAAAATGATGTATGCGACTGATGTATAAATAGAGACTAGAGAGGTATTTGTGTTTCCTTAGTGAGAAGACAAGTCCGATTGGGCCAAGGTCCTCTTGTCTCTAATCTCATTAGCCACGGATCCCAAATGAGGAGGGGGGGAGCTGTCACCCTGGGCCCACCCACCCAGAGTTGATAAGGCTGTTTTCTGTGCTTGGCTCCAATCGCAACCTCCCCACAAAAACCCACCTCTACCAATCACCTAAGGTGGAAGGAAGAGACTCACCCTGGGGGGCAGCTGGCCTTAGCTTTCTCCATTCAGTCCACCCCCTAGAAGATCAACCCGAGGCAGAAAGTTCAACCTACCTTGAAGAAGTCATCCTGGTGGACAACGCAACAGTTGGGGAGGTCTTGGATAAGTCTATTGGTCAAAGTGGTCTTGCCCCCATTGGTCACACTAGAGGGAAGGTGGAGCAGAAGAGTGAAGACAAAGTTAGGATGAGCAACTCAGGAGGAAACCGAGTGGTGAGATGAGAGCCAAGGTGGCCTTCTCTGAGAAGAAGCTGGAGGTTCTCCTGACTCCCAGGAATCAAAGCCCCTACCCCAAGTATCCCCGGGCATCCACACCCTGGCTTCCTTCTTTTCTCTCTCTCTCTCTCTGCCTGCCCCACAACTCTCTGGCCTGAAAGGGGACCCACTTCAGAAGGACAGGGCTCTCAAGCAATGTTTCTCTACCTCAACGTTTTAGCGGACTCAACAGACTTCAACATCTCAATGGACATTTGAATGGACCAATATCGGAATGGCCTTCAACACCTGAATGGCCTTCAACATCTCAATGGACATTTGAATGGACCAATATCGGAATGGCCTTCAACACCTGAATGGCCTTCAACATCCCAATGGACATTTGAATGGACCAATATCGGAATGGCCTTCAACATCTCAATGGCCTTCAACACCTGAATGGACTTCAGCTCCCAGAATTCCTGAGCCAGACAATGTCAGTTTTCCAAGTGATGAAATCCATTTAAAAAGAAAAGAACAAAGTTTGAACAAAAATTGACAGCCATGCTCAGGAATTCCAAACCACGCTGGCTGAGGAATTCTGGGAGTTGAAGTCCAGAAGTCATAAAGGGGTCCTAGTGCGCCACCCCTGCTCTAGAGGAACTGTGTTACAGGGGTTTCTGGATGTACAACCAGTCACTTAACAAAGGTTTGAAGTTACAAGCCCCTCAAACAGGAGACGTGGGACCCAGATGCAAATTTCTATTATTCAGGGACCCCTCCCCATAGTCACAGGACCACCCTTTGGGCTCTTGGCAACACAGCTGCCTTGTCGTACACTTGCAGCATCCCCCTAGTCATGTGACTTCATTTTACGATGGTTTCGTCAAAGGTTCTAGGAGGATTCCAGCAAAACTGCAGCCATGGTGAAGTATCGGCTCGCACTTAATGGCTGCCCCGTTTGCTTAACCACCGCTGCGTAGAACATCGTAAAATTGGGTCGGATACCTGACCGATCTGTTTTACAACCATTCCAACTTACCGCCATAAATGGGCAGACTCCCCCATTACGGTTGTAGCTTGAGAAATAGCTATCATCTACGGGCATCAGTAATCAATAAGAATCTGGTCACACCGCTTCAGACTTAATAAATAAATACTGTGTTTCCCTGAAAATATGACCTATCCTGAAAGTAAGCCCCAGCTTGATTTTTCCATGTGTGCCTAATATAAGCCCTAACCCCCACCCCCACCCCCAAATAAGCCCTAGTTAAGATCCCGGCCACTCCAGGGTGCACGGGTAAAAAAGAAGCTATGGTGGAGAAGGGTGTGTGTGTGTGGAGCTGCCCTACTTACCAGGCCTCGCACACCCCGACATCTGCCTTGTCTTGCCGGCCCACTTATTTACGGCCACTTGCTGCCGCTTGCATGCATTGCCCCTGGCCTCCATTTCACTGTCAAATGCCTTCAGGAAAGGCCTCTGCAGCCTAGAAATTGGCTCCGGATCAATCTGGAGTTCTTTTATCAGCTGCAGAGGCCTTTCCGGAAGGCCTCTGGAGGCAAAACGGCAGCCAGGGGCGACATACGTGTCAATCTGGACCTTGTTTCTCGACAGCAGAGGCCTTTCCGGAAGGCCTCTGGAGGCAAAATGGCGGCCAGGG